AAGCATAAAGAGTTTTCTTGTCAGCGGAATACACAAAAATAAAATCCAGGCCCGCTCTGTCAGAATCTGTCAGCTGAAAACATGGCGACGCAGGTGAAAGAAAAGTTGGCGGAATCTGTCCGCAATTATCCTTGTTTGTACGACAGGTAAGCTTACCTGAAACAAAATTCTCTGTCTCCCAGTTTTAATTCTTGTACAAGGTTATAATAATCGCCTTGTGTCTTTCTTCTCGTAAAAATGTCTCTTATGCAGACCTTTCTCGGTTTTCTTTATGTTTTCTTTGCATAAGTAACCTTCTTCGATTTCTACGGCTTAACAGTAGCAACAATCCAATTTCGACTTCGTTATCCTGAGAGGTGAACTGCGCCTGCGCAATAGCCATCCGTATGCTTATGCTTATGTAACCCCGGTTCACACATATTTTTCTTATATGCTTATGTTTATGGCTGTTTATGCTTATGCTTATGCTTATGCTAAAGTGTGAACCAGCCCTTATGCACTGGTGAGGACGGCCACGACATAAGCATAACCATGAGCATAAGAATATCAAAACCTTGCGTTCCTCTGAAGCCTGGTTCTCACTCGTGAGATAAGAACAGGCATAAGCACAAGCATAAGCACAAGGGAGCACAAGAATGTTCACATTAGCGACATTCGCATGCGCAGTGTGGGTCATGTCGGAAACATTCTCTTCCCCACTTCTATTCGTTTTAAAATGTGAAAAGAAACAGAGGCTCTGGAAAGGAGCATACGTAAGTGGAGAAACAACATGGCAGAGGAAGAAGCGCTATTTGCTGTGTTGATGTTGGTGAATACAACCAAAGTTCTGCTACACTTTATTTTAATAATCATTCCTTGGGTACTAAACAAACTCAGTTCGATTCGTGCTTTTGCTTGCCTGATTTCAAATTTAGCTCTCGTGCGATCTCGCTCCACGCCAACTCCTTTTTATGCGAGTTTTTGAAGTCAACCAATGATTTATCGTACAGAATTGGATAGTTCCGGGCAAGCTCTGCTAACCTCCCATCCGCCATTTTTGTTGAGCGAGAGGAGATCTGGAGATTGTTATTCTGATTGGTTGAGTTCTTGCGCTTAAGCTTGTGCTTATTGCAGACCAGTTCCCAATAGTAAAATAAGCGTAATAAGCATACGCGCAAGGACAAGAAAAAGGAAAATGTTTCTTTTTCTTGTGCTTATGCTTGTGCTTATCTTACAAGTGTGAATCAGGCTTATAGTGTTACACCAGAATATATTTCGCAAAAAAAGTGATATTAGTGTATCTAATACTTCTTGCTGTTTTACGTAAGCAGAGTGAAAAGTTATGATTTGTTTTGGGTTGTTTTGACGTGTGAAGCCAAGCATCACGAATGCACCCTATTACTTCGTCACGAAACTTCACGGAAAGGTATGAAACGTGACTCAGCAGTGAACAGTTTAGGCATTCCTTCGCCATTTCACCTTCTCTTCTTCTGAAGATAAAGGTTCTAGTGGTGAAGAAGACAAAGGCAAAAGTAAACATCAGTTGATACCGGTTTGAAAAAAAGCAAGAAGGTAGGAACTCAAACGTAAATTATTAATCTGACTATGTCGACGATTGGCATTTTAATTAATTAATGTATGAATCACAAAACGAATGAAAGATCTGCTCGTCTGATATTTCAGTGATTTGCAGGGTTTAGACATGCCACAAATGATTTACTTTTCCAAAGTGAAACAACTGTGTTACAGCGACTGTTCATTTTTCTATTAATGCAGATCAGTTGGAGTAAGAAGAGTGACACAAGTATAAAATTAACAAAGTGAACAACAGTCGACGTCTGTACAAGTGACATTTTTTTCATTTCTTTTTTTACACTGCAGAGTTCGTTTACATGTTATTTGCTACAGTGAATTAAAGAAAAAAATATTTACAGATTAGAGACGTGACAAAAAAAGAAAACGACCCTCGGGTTTATACAGCATTGATAATGTAAACTTCTCAACGTCCGTTAACGTTTGCACCCGAATAGGTTTCGCGAGAAGTGATATTCTTAGTATCTAACACTTGCTTGCTTTGAAGGTTTAAGTGAGCACTGTGGAAAGTAATGACTTATCGTAGTTTGTTTTGACGCATGAAGCCAAGCATCAGGAACGTACCATATCGTTCTGAAGTTTTGTGACGTAACGATATGGTGCGTTCGTGATGGTACGGAAATCAGTGCACAGGGGACCCGAACACTATATCAGCAGTAAAAATAAATGTACTGTTATTTACCTGTGTTCCTGTGTCGTTTTGAGCCGTTTAGAAGGGATCTGAATGAAGCAAAGGCGGTTGACATTTGCGAATATTATCTGGTCTGCCGCCTTGTAATTATGACGCTCCGATTATTTCAAGTTTCGCGCGGATGAGAAACTTCAGACGTAATCAGAGCGTCATAATTCGCCTTTGCTTCATTACGACTCAAAAAGACGTCTCACAAAGACACAGGTAAATAGCAGTACATTTATTTTTACTGCTGATATAGTGTCGGGTCTCCTGTGGGAATGTATGAAGCGTGTATGAGTCAGCAGCGAACAGATAAGGCAGTCCTTTGCTATTTCACTTTCCTTTTCTTTTCACGTCAAGGGTCACATCTTCGGACAGTTTAACAATATTATGGGAGCGACAACATGACACGTTTAAAGCGAAGCTTGAGGGATATTGCCACACAAAAAAGAAAACCAAAAAAAAAACCCAAAAGCAAACAAACAAACAAACAAACAAAAAAACAAGAAAATATACATGTATACATCGTTCTTTAAGCGTGAGCGACCATATGACGTGTTTAAAGCGAACATGGCAATCGCGAGATACTGCCGCAACAAACAAGGCAAATTATACATGTATAAGACATTAGAGTGTATTGAAAAGACATTCTAAAAATAAAATAAAAAACCAGTCAGTGGATAAAGTCAAGAAATTGTGATATTATAGACGATAAATAAAGAAGACAGTTCTCCAAGTTTAAGGTATGTGCGTTGTCCCAAAGTGGAGATATTCGTCTAAATGTTCCGCGCAAAATTATAGAGCCTAGTATTTGGCTATCTAGTCAGCTGATTATCTGAACCGAGCCAAAAAACATTGACACAAGCACTTTAACTCCTAAAATGGCTAAAAATCACGAGATCAGTGTATATTTTTCGACAAACGCGATCTAGCTTTATGTCATGCACCGCCATAACTCCGAAATTCAAAATGCGCTGGTTTCCAAACGAAGGACGCTATTGAGCTGGAAAGTTGTCAACAGATATAAATTTTATACCTCTTATGCCTGATGAGGATAAAACCTTTGGTGGCTCTTTAGTTTTGGATTTGGGAATTCGATGACGTCACTTGAACACAGTCTATATGATGCTTTTAAAACGAAAGTAAATATCAACCGGTTAGCATTTTCAAGACCTCAGTCACAGTTTTTCACTATACCGACCTCCCAGCTGGCAAATAACACATATATACCTCGTTCTTTAAGCGTGAGCGGCAAAATGACGTCTTTAAAGGTCAACAAATAACACAAATATATATGTATACAACAATATGACGTGTTTAAACAAAAGAAAATATCAACCGGGCGAGCATTTTCAAGACCTCAGTCACAGTTTTTCACTATACGGACCTCCCAGTCTTGCAAATTAACATGTAGATACGTTATCCTTTAAGCGTGAGCGGCAAAATGACGCTTTTATAGCGAAAGAAAATATCAACTCAAATATAACATTTATACCTCGTTCTTTAAAAACTGAAGGAGAGCAACACGCGTTTTATTGAAAGGAAATATCAACGCGAGGCCATTGCTAGCGTCTTACTACAGCTCGTTTTTTAAATGACGCTTAAACACAAAAGAAAATATCAACTGGCGGCTAGTGCCACAAGATCTTTATCTGGAGAGGAAGCCACATTAGCCTTAGCTGGTATTCATTCGGGTCCTCTAACCTGGTCGAATTGGATTTTGGACATGCTGCTTTTTGTGGAGGGAGGCAGTCTAAACACCGGCTCTCAGTGAACGCGAACAAAGCGTGGGATTTGTTACAGGCCAATCCCAAAGGGCAGATACTAGGCAAATCGAAAACAAAGTCTACAGACTCCCCCTCCCCGCCCTTTTGCAATGGCAATATCAAACTTTGAGAAACAGCTGACAGCTCAAACATATGCATTTCAGCGAGGTAAGACTGAACTTCAGCCACGGAACGTTTCATCATTATAGAGCAAATCTTCCTTCCAAAACTATAAACATATCTCAGGGTCTGGCATCCACCCTTCCCTTTCCTGTTGGACGTTCGACAGTCAAACGTTAATCGCGAAATACATACAATAATTATTCGCTATACACCTCCCATGTTAGGGACTGAGATCTACGTCAGTTTGTTGCAATAACCAATACCAAAGTAATCACTGTGCCAATCAGCAAGGATATAGGCCATCTTATGCACCAATCAGAACCCAAGGAAATACGGGCAGCAGGCTTGAGGGGGAAGGCTGCACGAGATTCACGAATGGTTTTTGTTTACTTGGCTGGAAAATTAGTCTGTGTTCATAACGACAATCACTAAGGGTAACATACAAAACTGAAGCAAACGGGTAACCCTTTTAATACAGTCTCAAAAACCTAAGTTATCCTAATCAAATTTTTATTTTTTTCTTCCATTTTCAGCACGATCCATTTGATTAAGACAATGGTATCACGTTCTCAGCTTCCCGGTATGATGCGGTTGCTCTGTTTTTCCATTTGCCTTGCTGTACTACTTCTCCTCTGCTTGCTGTATTATACGGACACGATGAACAACGCCCTGTCTCTTGTCGGAGTTGTTTCTCCGAAGAAAGTCCCAGGACATTCATCTGGTAAACAGTATAATTTTCTATTTAACTCTTCGCTTAACAAGACGAGGGGACAAGAACATTCTCATAAAAATGTAGATGGGAGCGGTAGTGAAACAGAAAAGTCGTTAATTTCGCGTAGGTTGCAAGATTTCCGACACGAATGGCTTCGTCAGCGCCGTGCACGAGTAGACTGGAAGAACATTATTAAGCCCTGCGCTGAAAATATGGTCTGGGGATTAGTAAAAGATCATTGGGGCAAAACCAATCATAGCAACGCTACAACAAGTGACATTATATTCCAAGATATCAGACCAGCGGGAGAGTTCAGCAAGATTTTCATTCAGTCAAAAACCTCAGACAATCGAACGAAGTTGATTGGTGGAGACACCTGGAGGGTTTACGTACGTGGTCCAACAAGCATTGCGGCCACTGTTTTCGATCATAATAATGGAACTTACGAAGCTCTGTTTCTTATCACGGAGCCTGGTGTTTATCAACTGACGATTTACCTTGATTTTAGTCTTTGTGATGGCTTCAAAGACCCACCTCGTGATTGGTTTATCATAGGTGACTATCAGGGGCGGAAACAGAGAGAGGGAGTTGTAGGTTCTTTAGATGAATACTTGGTAGAACACCCTGACGGACAACTTGCCTTAAGCATAAATGTAACTAAGGCTCAGCTTAAAGTCCCTCCTTCTGGTAAGTAAATTTCTATGTGACTTTGTAAAAGATAAGAGTATTTTGTTTGTCAAAAATACCTCAGACAAAGAGTATTTAGACTATAGGTGGGTCATAACGGCTTCTAGCTCTTTAAATCAGTCTAAATTGGTATCAAAAGTGTTTAAATGCAACTTTTTGCCAATGTGACGGCGGATTCAAAGCCATTTAAGTTTTTGAAAAGTTTAGGTGGTTCTCTTAATCCTGTGTTTTCGTTCTGTTAATACGCAGAGAATTGAATTTACATTGAGTAGATATTTATGAGCGTGCTCTACAAAATTACACCATTTTTGTCGATCATGGCGTCATATGAGGCCAATTGACGTTCCTTGGCGCGCCATCTTGGATCCACCATAATGGCTCTTACTCTGTTCTGAAAAGGTCAAACAAGGAAGGACATTAACACCAAATCAAGCCAGAATGCCCATGGAATGTAAACATTTACGAATTTCTGCAATTAGATGTTGAAAACGGGATTAAATAATATTAATATGAAAAAAGTTATTTTTTGGCCAGACCTACCCGAAATTTGCAGTTGCCATGACAACGTAGAAAGTCAGTGACCCACAATAAACAAATCCAATTTTTTTTTTTTTCAAGCGGACACGGTAACGAATCCTGCAGTCTGTTTGGTTCTTAGCGCGGTCCGGATTTTCCTATCTCAGACCAAGAAATTGTCGTGTTGATTAATTTTTGTGAATGAACTAGCTTTAATCGCCAACCTTTGCTCTTTTTACTCTTTCATCGACGATTAATCTACACAAGTTTATTTCTATTTGCTTTAAAATGATGCCTTTCCTGTAGTGCAATACGCGATGGGTCTGCCTCATACGGAGGTGTGGCCATGTTGACTGCCTTTCTTCGGGCTAGCACAGCCACCTACCTGTATGTCAGAGGTCTTGACTTACTTCGTGTTGTCATCATGTTGCCATCATTTGCATTTTATTCTTAAGATCTCTCTGATACAGTTCTTCGGAAGTCCTGTTCACGAAAGCTGCTAAGAAAGCCAATTATCCTGTTGTAGGATATGTGACTGATGAGGTGCTAATCACAGTGTTTGACGGGGTGGAGTCCCTTCTAATAATTAATTTCCGACCGTTAACTTATCGGAGCTTGGTTCTGCGAGACAGTTTACAAAACCACAATGCTCACGAGTTAAAAAAAAAAAATAAAAAAGGATTTGTTACAGCCATAACATCACCAGCTAAACCATGTTGTTTTAGTTTAACAGTCTTTGAAGAGTCAGATATTACCAATGGAATATATTTACCTTATTGTTTCTCATGCAGACCAACTTGAGGACCTTGTCTCCTGTTCTGAAACCTGCAAGTATTTATGGGATGGATTTGGTCAATGGAAAAATGACAAGTGGATGCCACATCTTAAAGGTTGTATGTGATTCATTTAAGAAATAGAAAATACGTACGTGTTTTTATCGAGTTATAGAAACACGAGTGGAAGTTTGTGAGAAAGAGAAATGCTGTGGAAACACGAGCCGATAGGTTAGTGCTTCCATAGCTCCTTCGAATTCTCCCAAACTTCCACACGTGGTTCTATTAAACAATTAGATTATTCGCTCTCGACTTCTATCGCGTGATAGTTGACTCGGGCTACGCCCTCGTCAACTTTCAGGAAGTTACCAGGCGTTAAAACACAAGCTCCTGCTATGTCGCTCCCCAACTTATTGAAACTGTCTTTGACCAGAGGCGGCCTGACCCAAGTGGATCACGCAACGTATAATTTCTTTTGTTGTCTCGAAGTTTCAGTTCGTCCTTTTTTAAACTTACCAAGTTTTCGTTGCAGCACCCGATAGTCAGACAGTAACCTTCTCAATCTATTAATAAACAGTTATTCTTTACTGAAGCCAACCTAGCCGTTTTCGTCAACGCTTCCGTCGGAAGACAGCAAATTACTTTTAAAACTCTTCCTAAACCTGTACTTTCGGGTGAGGAAGTGGTCGTACCTAAAAACATTACAAGGAGGAGAGAAAATTGAAAGTAAGAAAATGCACCTCTTTTTCTGACGTGTGAACGATTAGCAAACATGTGTTGTTAACTGTCAGCCAATCAAAACACGCGCTTTTATTCACGTGCTTCATTTTCGTGACACTTCACAAAATGGCGGACGCAATTCAAGATGAACATGAGGCCACTTTTAAATTTATCGAAGAGGTTCACAATTGTCCGGCTGTGTGGGACATTTCATCTGTAGTCTACAAAGATACCATAAAAACAAACAAAAGAAAATGGAGGAGCTAGCGGACAAACNGTCCGGCTGTGTGGGGCATTTCATCTGTAGTCTACAAAGATACCATAAAAACAAACAAAAGAAAATGGAGGAGCTAGCGGACAAACTGGGTTTCCTCCAAACCTTTCTATTTCTCCACCGCTTTCTGTTTCTTTTCTTCTTTTCTTCTGTTTCACTGTTGTACGTGAGTGCCACTGCACCAAGTCGGTCATGTTGCAAATTACCGTGTGTTGTGAAATGACGCACGTTTAACGTGTGAAGGTACGAGTTTGCCAACTTTTTGAAGTTTGCCAACACGAGTTTGCCAACTTAAGTTTGCCTTGTGAAAGCTGCTTAAGAATGCACTTGGGAATGCAAAAAAAAAATATTGCGATAAAGTAAGTTAATTTCTTATATTTCATTCAATTTATCAGTAGGTAATTAGATAAATAGATAATTAATTAGATACAAGACCCCTCAAGCATGTAGTGCTTAAATGATAATCGTGTTTTAAATAAACGATTTTACTTAACTTTACTTCACTTTACTTTAACAATTCATGAAAAGGAAGATGCCAGACTGTTTAGTTTATCTGTGTGTCTGTTTTAAGGAAGCTCTTAGAAACCACACAGGGACTGGTCATCAATACAAATAACAAGAAGGTCCTGAAATATGTTGCCTAATTACTGAAACCTGTTGCAAACAAGTGTGCCACAAAATCAAAAGTATGCTGGGGGGGATAACCCTGCGATGGACTAACATTCCATCTAGGGGGGAGTAGAAATACTCCTAGTCGCTTTATGCTACTGAAACCGGGATAAGCTCCGGCCTGACGAGCCAGTTGGCTCGTATGCAGACTTAGGAACTATGCCTAAGCCACAATTTTATTTATATACAATCATTCCATCGTAGATTTGAACAGAAATAACCAAGGACCTTTTCAATATACTTAGGGTTAGAGTGCCAAAACAGCCGTCAAACATAAGGAATATGGCTCCAGTGAGCTAATTTTTGAGACTAGATTTTCTCAAGAACAAATAAAAATAATACCAATGAACAGTAACAAGCACTTACCTTGAAAGTTTAACTGTGGCTTAGCAGGGTCCTCATCCGTGTGAACCCACAAACAAAGAGAAAAAAAATGCGTCAACACTTAACTACCACCAACACTGAAGAAAAGAACAAAATAGAGGACAGTCAACAAAGCCTTTATTTTGGCTGTCATGCGCCACATATTCGCCATCTCAGTTGTCACAAATTTCCCGACTATGATGGAGACATCAGACGCCATCTTGAAGCACGAAACAACCAATCGGCGATGAGAAATCTACCCAAGTGATATAGGTTTCCAATCCAGCCTTCGACTTATCCATGTTGGGGAGGTGACAGGAAAAAATGTTACGGGCAACGTAAAAGTTTTCAAAAAAGATCAATAACTTTCAAAATCGCTTGGTCACCCCAACATGGTATGTTATAAAATGGAAGTGACCAGCCTATTCAACACGTGATTAGTTTACATGTTATGTTATAAAATGGAAGTAAATTAACCAGCCTATTCAACACGTGATTAGTTTCAGGGTGTGAGCAAAAGGTATTTGAACTGTATTTTAGCTGAACCAGTAGAAGGCTGTCAGAGACGCTGAAAGCGACGTTGCAACGATTTTGTTATTAAAAACATACCAAATATGGTTTTTATGTTACCATTTACCATGTAGTTTTAAGATCTTTACAAATGTGTTTGTTTTTCTGTATGTAAAGGCGAATTCTAAGGAAATCTGTGAAAAAATATCCTTTTTTTCTTTTCCCAGAAAAGAGCTGATGTCAGCGTTTTTGTTTCTAGTTTGCTAAACATTGTTTCTTTTTTAAAATTTCAATAAAGCAGAGTCTTACAATTGGTCGATGGCGGAAAATTACATGCAATCTGGAACGCTTTGGGTCTACGGTGATTCAGTGGGTCGCCTACTGTACAGATCTGTCAAGACTCGTCCCTTATGTCAATTACTGTATAAAACGTGCAACACGAGCTACGTGTGGGTCTACCGCAAGGACAACGAAGACCTATACATTAACCTGGAAAGAAATCTTGATTTTAGACCTGAAAAAGTCATCGAAACCGTCATTGATGTTCTTCGCACGCCGGAAATGCAGCAAGAGGAAAGCACTTTGCTTTTAAACCTGGTTCTGCATTTTGTAAGAAGCGTCAATTTTACCACTTATCAGAAGCTTATTGATGACTTAATACTGGTTTTGAAGGCCAAAGGACTCCCACAAGGTGAGAGAATTTTGGAGTATCCGGCTAAAATCATCTGGAAGTCATCCACCGCCATTTGCATGGAAAAGTACGCGACCCGTAGATTAACCCATCTTCGATTCTTCACTAGCCAGGTTTGCCTCCATTTGTCAGATTCTAAAGGTGCAGGTGTGCAAGATTAGTATACGTTATAAGCTTTGATGTTGTGCAATGTTTAATTAAAAACGCCTCATCTATTTCATTTTTTTAAACCAACAGCACTGGCTGTAGGGAACAACTCACTAAAAGTTAGAACAGTCTCTTATTAAAAGAAAGTTTCGTTTAATTGATACACACGAGCATCAGTAGAATAACTTAAAGCTATTTTATTGTGTGCTGCAGTGAGATAATGGCGGAGGAATATATGTCTTAGGATATCGAGGAATTCGTGATAAGCTGTTAAGTAGTTCGTGTGCAAAATATGAGATATTCCGCATTTGATTGACTGTTTCAAATTTTTAAAGATGTTCTAGAGGTTAACAATAGATTCTCTCTCATTTATCAATGAAGATACGCAGTGTTAAGACCACGATGCATGGTAGGCACATCAGTATAGACCGCAAACAAACTATTTCTTTACGTTTCCTGCTTTCAGCGAGTTGCCCTCTTCAGCGCCTACTCCATGTCAGCCATGTGCAAAGCAGGATTTGACGTCATAGACGTGTATCCACTGAGCGATTCGTATCCCCATAAATGCACAGACCATGTTCATTACGACAATGCCGTTTTTGACATGATGGAGACAATGCTTGAGCAGTACAAAGTACACTACAACAAGAAGCTCGACGAAAATGAAAAACATGGTAAAATAAAACAATGCATAAATACAGAAAACCTCTGACAGCCCAGGTAGAACAGTTGGAAGGCACGTTTGTAAATATTAACAGGAGACCGTTTTAGTGAAGTATAAGTCCACGTTACTGAATAAAACTGTAAAAAACCATACCCTTGTCCAATGTTTTTATTTCTTCAACTTGTCGACCTCGTGGTCAGGAAATTACATATTGTCACGTGACGGGGAATACAATGAAAACTGTGTGGGGTGACGTAAGGATTGACTCCTCATACAGAAAAGTTAGTGGTAGAAGTAAAAGTAGATAGTAAAAGGAGATAAATTTTTAGATGGAGAAAAAAGATGACAGCTTTTTTCTATGCGAAAGTGTCAATCGATTTTCATTGAGTAATCTGATTCCGAGTATCAAGGTATTCAGTAACTAAACCTTGAGATGGTGTAGCCTCTTGGAATCTCGTTTTCGTGTCTGGTGAGACTTGAAAACGATACAGATGTTAAACACTTAGGGTACGGTTTCTTTAAGAAAATCCAAGATTGGATTCTTAAATCCGAAAGAATCCGAAAACGGATTTGCGTTTCTTTATACTAAACAGATCAATCCAAGTTCCCTCGGATCATGGTGCGTCAAAGGAAGCGAAGAATCTACTCCCAGAGTGGATTCTTCGGTTCCTTTGACGCACCATGATCCGAGAGATCCTGGAATGAAGTTATGTTAAGGTTCACAGTGCAGCCAGGCGAACAATCAAACATAGCTTAAAGTTACGCTGGCTTAGGATTTAACGAAAGTGACTAAGAAAGTTACAATTGGCGACCCAACGTTTCGATACTAGTCTAGTGCCTTTATCAGGGGTGAACTAAAGTTGTTACGCAAGTCCTTTTATACGCTCAGAAATAACGGCCTTCTGTTCTGACTGAGGCGTAAAAAGGCTTCAAGTAAAAGACAGCCATTGTCACGGTTTAAAAGAGCAAGGGCAGACTTAATATGCCGAGCTTCCAGACGATGGTGCTGATGATAACGTCGGTTAGTGGTGATAATTTTAGAATTATACCACCCGATTGTGTGGGTAGTTTGGCAAGCGTGTTCCGACAATGCGGAGTTTTCTCTTTTGCAAAGGAAAGCCGCTTTTTGGTGCTCTTTTAAGCGTGTACCAAACTGGCGCTTGGTTTGTTCGATGTACCCGTGATCACAGTCATTGCAAGGAATAGAACATATGGCGTTGTTTTTTAGAGACGGGATCCTTGGATTTGGAAAAAAATATGACTTAACGTCTGAAAGGGTTCTTGGGCAACTTTAATGTTGTGACCATACAAAACTCTCTTGATTAGTTCCGTGACACCTCGAATATAAGGAATGATGGCAAAACCGGAAGCCTTGTCAGGAGTGTCAGGAGGAAGTGTCAGAAGCAATTGTTACTGGTTTTGACGGTTACGTAGAAATATTTTCGGATAGCCGTTAGCCTTGAAGACGTCGGAAACATATTTTCGTTCCTCTGCCCTAGAATCGTCAGGAGATGGTAGACAGCAAAAGCAAAAGGACAACATATTAATAACATCTTCCTCGGACAAAGAAGTTCTTTGTTCCAGGGAGTTGTCTTCTCTGATTCTTTTCTCTGCAACTTTAAAGGCTGGTTTCCATATGATCGCAGACGATCGCGGATCGCGGATCGCAGATCGCAAAAAGTTTTGCGATCGTCTGCGATCATATGGAAACACACT